CGGACCTTGGTCCTGCGGCTCCTGCCGGCGGGTGCGGAGCGGCGGCACAGCCTCCCGCGCCCTCTCCCATCCCCTGCTCCTTCCTTTCTTCCTCCTCCCTCCCTCCCGCCTGCCCGCACCATGGAGTTTACGGAGAGGAAGAGAAGCAGGAAATCCCAAAGCTTTAAACTGATAAATCAAGGTAAAGTGGTGGCCGCGGGGGGTGGGCTGGGAGGGGGGCTTTGTTTTGTTTATTTGTTTGTACCTTAAAAAAAAAAATACTTTTTTTTTCTTGCCCGATCGGGGCTGGGTTTCGGGGAGAAGAGCAGGGTGTTATGAAATGTGCGTGCTCCCTTCCCTGAGCCTCGCTCGCCCGCCCTGTATTTATTATTTAACTCCGGGTCGTGGGGTTGAACTCTCCAAAGCCTTGGATTTCTTTTCTTTTTATTTTTTTTCCGGTATCATGTGTTTTTCTTTTCTTTTTTTTTTTCGTTTTTTTTTTTTTCCAATACACAACCCCGAGGGTCGACGTGTTTGATTATTATTTCCCCTCCCCGCCCCGGGAGATCTTATGCAAAATAAAGTATGCCATTATAAATTCCCGGGGAGGCAAGAAGGCGAAATGAAGAAACTATGGGGGGAAAAAAATCATGACAGTCGGGCAGCGGCGGGTCTTTTTAGTATTCAACTCCTGTGGGTTTGTTGTGTCTTCCTATTTTCCTCCTCTTCTCCCTCGCCTTCCTCCCGGCGCCGCGCACAGACGCGGGTGGCCGGGAAAAGCCCCGCCGAGCGGGCGGGCGGGCGCGTGAAGAGCCCGTTACCGCTCCGGGGGCGAGGAGCAGCGCGGGCGGGCGAGAAACTTGGGGGCCGGCGAGACGAGGAGCGGGGAAATGTTAGGAAATGTTTGGATTCGTGTCGCAGCCCCCTCTCCCAGCCCTGTTATTTATTTATTTATTAAATCAGATCCTGCCGCTGGGAGTCATTTTAACAGGTGGACTTCCCAGCCCTAGGCTTTCCTCCCTTTCTTCTTTGCTTCCTTTTTTTTTTTTTTTTTCTTTTTTTTTCTTTTTTTTTTTTTTCTTCTTTTTTTCCTTTTTTTTTTCTCCTTTTTCATTTTCTCTCCTCTTTTTTTTCTCCCCCTTTTTTTTTGTTAGACATTTATCGTTTCTTCAGTCCATTAGATCTTTCACCCTCATTGATTTGTCTTATGATCTATTTCTTTTTTTTTCGATTTCTTTTTTTTTTTTGCATTTCAAAGTGTTGAGCAGAAATACCACCACGAAATGCTGCGTGTGTGTGTCCTGCATGCCAAGTTCAGGGCAGGTGACAGCCTGAGTTTAATGTCACACTTACAGGAAAGGTGGTAGAGGAGAGGCGGGTGAGTTTTGATACTTTCTGCCCCAAAAGTGGTTTCTTCCCAGGTCTCCCTGGTGAGACATGAAGGATTTCGAGGATGGGAGTAAACTCCTCTGATGGGAATAATAAATAATTACTGTTTTGACACTATAGAAGGATCTTGAGCACTGCATTTACCTCTTAAAAACTAGAGGGACGGTGACAGGTCAGGCATGTCCGAAATCTATTGGAGATCTTATAAACACAAACATGAACAAACCTCTTGAGGGCTTAAAGATTGGATTTGGTTTGTGTTTACATATATATAAACACACACATACAATGCATGTGTGCATGTATATATGTGTGTGTATATGTATATATATTGTTTATCAGATATTATCCTCACTTTCCTTCCGTGCTGACTTTGTGCAGCCTTGGACTGGGGCACGGGCACGCACATGGAAAAGCAAAAGTGAAATTGAAGCCTTGGTTTTATTCCCCTCCTAATAAAACTGTAAAAAGAATGGTGAGTGCTCTCAAAAATAGAGTAGTATTTTGCAAATGCTCAGGTGCCACTTGTAGCAGGGTGGTTGCAGCAGTGTAGCTAACCCTGTTTTAGTAGGGAAATAAAATTGTGTTGGTAGATTATTAGTAATTCATATTCGATCTGGTGTTTCTTCTTGGATATAGAAATGTAAATAAGAAACTCTGCTAAAAGCAAGTCCTGGAGAGCAAATGTGTGTTTTATACTTTGAGAATGGTGAAGATTGAAGAATCACGTTTTAGCAGAGCCTGTTCTTGTGTCCTTTTTCCTATCATGGTTGATTATAAAGATAATTACGAATAAATAATTGCCTCTTGTAATTGGCCTTTGCCTCTTGCTGGAGTCATTCAGCAGTGTCACAGTTTAGTGTTTACTGTTGTGAAACTGATACGGGTTTCACAGCCCCTGGACTGTGACATCGGAGGCAGAAGAGGAAAACCAAGGAGAAAACCATATGTCGGGTTTGCTTATTTGCAACGCACAGTCTGTTACCCGTGTGTGTGTTTATACACAACGCTTATTCCGACCCCCGAAAAACTTCACAAACGTGGTGGAATTGCTTTGAGCACCGTATCCAGAAGAAATCTGTTGCTTCACTAACGTGCAGCCGCCTCTGGGGTGAAATGTGACTTTAAGGTACCAGGTAGAGCTCAGAAAACAAGAGTATTGTGACCAGCTGGGTACACTGAGGGAAGTGTGAGAGAAGAAGCCACATGTAAGCAATAACATCTAGGCACCAGGAATCTTGTTAGTCTTTTCCTAACAGTCTTTTACTGTTTACTTTCCACGTACTCACTTCTACCAGAGCTTGGAAATTCTTGGATTAAAACGTAGAGAAAAGCTAATGGGCACTCAAAGTAGTTTGCACATATATATATTTATTTTTAGCCCCCTTTAGAGGGGGCTAATACTTTCTGGATGTTGTGTCTCAGCCTTCACCTTTGCCCTTTCTGCATCAGGCAGCCCATGCGTTTCCCTTGCTCCATGCAGCACAGAAACCCCAGCGTTACCTTCCTGGCTAGCCCCTTGTTGCTGACCTCTCCACGTTTCTTTTTCTTTTCTTTTTTTTTTTCCTTTTGCACAATGATATTTCTTTACAGAAAAGTGTCGTTTTTGCCTCTCCTTTGTGTTGCTACGTTATACTTGGTTCTGTTTCTCTTGTGCTCTTCTTCCTCCCCACTCTTATATCATTGGAACAGTCATGTTTCAAAAGTAAATAACAACAACAACAACAACAGGTTTGACTGCCAGGACCCCTCTACCATTCTGTACCCGATCATTTTGTCCCAGGTGCAGGTGTGCTTCTCATGCAGGCAGAAACTGTTTATTTTGCTGTGCATTTTTGTTGTGCCTTTTAAGTGAATCCCTCAAAGTGCTTTTCCATGTTTTAATTAATCTCTTCCTCGCTCTCCTCGAGGCAGGTCAATATAAAAAAACAGTTTACAGAGAGAGTAACTGAGATAGTTGGGACCTGGGAGGGCTCAAGTGTTAAAAGGAGTTAGGTGATGGGGTAGGGAGCTCTTTTCACATACTGATTAATTGCTCAGTCTTGAGTGGTTTGCCTAAGGACAAAGTGTGTGCCGTAGCAAAGGCAAAATCCAAGAGAATTGCTTTTAGATATGTTTTTTTTTTTCTTGTAATTGCATTTCCCATGTACCTGTGTGTAAACAACCTTTATGTTTGTTACTGAACACAACCCGGGGTGTCCGGCGGGCCCCAGCCACAAAACTTGCTTTTATTTGAAATTGAAAGTCAGATTTTTTTGTGTTGTATAATATTGCCGAATACAAGATGCTAATATTTATTTTTAGGGTCATTATGGGCCCCAGTTTCTATAGGTAACTGTCCTAAGATGTGCCTGGTCCTGCTTTCTTCAGCAGCCATTGCTAGCAAGATAACTCAGCATAGCTGAAAGGTGCAGCCCTAATATATGTTGCTGGTTTCCTTATTGAGGTGGAGTTTGAAAGTTTCCCTTGGTCTCTAGGAAGGTAAAGTTTTCATTACAAATCTGCTTTCCATCTGTAAAGCAAGAAGCCAGATAATTGGCATCTGGTGGGATAATTTGCTGTGAAAATGAACACAGTAATTTAGGGCAGGCATAGCTATTCCCTAAAAATCTGTGAAATATTTCAGCGAAGTCTCTCCAGTGTGAGCAAAGGTTTTTTTAGGAGGTGCTGATACAGAGCACATTTCCTGTGGTTAATTTGATGTACGTGAAATAAACTGCAGATATATTGACAAATTATATAGTAAAACTGTAGCAATGTGCTCGTGTTCGTTTTTTCCAGATCACTTGAGTTCTAATTTTTTTTTATCGTTTTTCATTCCAGATTACCATCACGAGATATATAAGATCTCTGACTACAGCAATGATGTTAATGGGGAGACCAAAGAAACACAACCGTTTTTTTTAGGTATGTTCTTGTGTTGATTAATTCCCGAGCAACATAGCGTGGCCATTTGCAATTAGAGAGGGGAAAAAATCTCTATGCAAGCACAGGAAGTGCCTGCCATTGTTTAATATGACATTCTTTTCAAGACCCTTTTATTCTGCGAATTGCCAATATATCCTTTATTAACACTGCTAAAAGTTGTAATTTCAGACATAAATGTTTATTAGTGTCTCCACACAGTGCTAATTATCACTCGCTCGGAGAGCCAGATGCTGACTGTGCAGTTTTGCAGCTCTGTGCTCACCCCATTTACATTGCATATTTGCTGGCATGCTTCACTGGCAGTAGTTTGTGTAATTGGGGTATTACATCTTTGACATCTGGATAACAGAAATTCAATTTCCAGGAAGCTGCTATTTGTTTGGTTTTTGCTTCTGCCTTGGGTGGGATAGAGGATTAATGTGCTGTCTTAATGTAATGTCCTTTCACCTCCGTAGCCTGCCTGCTAATCCTGCTATGGCAAAATTAAATTAAATCAACAGTTAAAAATGTGTAAAGAAAACAGAGAAGTACTATATAGGCTGCAGTATGGTATATATTGCAGCTTGAGAGGACTGGTTATCAGTGAGTCTTTATCTTTCCAGTCCATGTGCTCGTTGTACTCTGTAACTCTCTGCTGTAGATGGCTCCTTCCTTTCCTGCTTCCAGCCCCACTCCTGTCACATCCAGGGCTTCATCTGAGTGCAGAGCCTCTTTGCAAAGGGACAGGAGGCAAGTTCCAGGGAAATACAAGCCTCGTTTTGTCCTGCTATAAAGATTCTTCATGTAAAGCAAGTCCTTGGTCGCCCCGCTCAGGCGTTTAAGAAAGAAAGTGCCTTTGTGGAGAGAACTTTGGATTGCTCAAGGGAGGTGTCTGCCTCTCCTTGAGGACTCCTTGTAGGAGTTTTAAGCTTTTTGCTCTATCCTCTTTTAGAGGTGGGCAGCAAATGGAAGAGGAAAGGAGAATGTTTTAGACTGTTTGAAATATTTAAGCAGAGAGAGCTGTGTTAAGTTTGCTGCTCAGCATCTCGCTATTAGGTTTTTGAGGAAATAGTTCATCCCTACACCCATTTTTCTTTTAGAACCAAAGGTGTCTGGTATGCTTTCTGTTTGAATTCTGTGTTCCGTGAGCGTTTTTGGTGTGGTTTGCATTTGAGTGCTGTCTCTTCCAGCTATAAATGATGAGGTGGCTTTGGCAGGAGATAGGCATTAGCTTTTTAAGCCTGGATGCTCCTAAGAATATGCAGGAGTCTATGCTTTGACATATGTGACATAGGTCAGACCAGTTGATTTCGCTTTGCTTTAGTTGTTTTGGGTTTCATTTTGGTTTGGTTTGGTTTTGGCTGTGTGTGTGTGTCTTGTTGAGCGTGCCCAGCTTTGGATTGTGATTGAGTGTTCTGTGATATTTACGTGCCTGAAGTCCATCTATATCAGAAGCCAGCTTGAATTTAATCCTTAATAAAATGAGTCCCATCAGTGGATTTCCTTATCAGGTATCAAGAAAGCAAATGTCACTCTTGTCTTCAGGAAGAGCAAGAGGGTAGATATGGGGAACTACAGACCAGTCAGCCTCACCTGGATCCATGGGTGGGTGATGGAGCAACTAAAACAGACTTGGTGGGTAAGTGGAGAGCAGTGAATGCTGTTTATCCTAACTTCGGTTAGGCTTTTGGCACTGCCTTCCATAATATCCTCAGAGACATATAGTTAAAGTATGGACTAGGTGAGTGCACAGAGAGGTGGACTGAGAACTGCCGGGCTCAGAGCATGGTGACCAGCAGTATGAAGTGCAGCCGGGGTCCAGTTACTGGTGTTGCACCCCACAGGTCAATATGAGCCCAGAAACTTTAACTTCTTCATTAATGTCATGAATGATAGGACCTTGTGCACCCTCAACAAGTTTGCAGATGATGCAAAACTGGGAGAGGTGGCTGGAGTCCAAGTCGACTTATTGGACGATCTGCTCTGACCCTCCTTGAGCAGGGGGATTGGACCAGGTGTTCTCTGGAGGTCCCTTCCACACCCAACTATTCTGTGATTCCATACTGAAGTCCTGAACTTCAGTCCTGAGAACTGTATCTGAAATATAATATGCATATGATTGCTTACACAGTCAAGAATGATGAACTTGATTGCAGGAGATGCAGTGAAGAGAGGGGACTCTAGGGAAAGCAAGTCAGAAGTGTCTGACTTCTCGGCTTGTTTAACATGCGAGGAAATTAAGGGTCAAATGTCAGGAAAGAAGACCTGTTAAACCCGGAGAACAATTTTTGGCACCAGTATAAAAGGACAAAATATGCCTTTTTATGAATACAGACTGACAAGTAGAAGAAGCTCCATCCCAGTGAGAGAAATGAGGCGCTGAAGTGACTTTTGTTAGTTGTGAAGGTATAAAGCTCAACTGCTCTCTACATGGAGCTTGGTAAGATTAGGAAGTTTGACTTTCTAATCCAGTAGTTGGGTTTGTGGGATAGCAGACATGGTGAGCTGCCGTGTTTTCCAGCCTTTAGTTTTGATAAGACGCTAAACAGGAATTCAGTCTTTCTGCACAGAGGATACACTGAACACAGACTTGGTGAAATGTGGAATGAATGGATCTCAGCCTGGAGTCAAATGCTTAAACCTTGAATATGAACAAGTTTTAAGACAGAAATTTTTTCAGCTTTACCCTTTATCAGCCACAGATACTAGACCAGATTTAGGAATTTAAGCACATGAGGGGACTACACCACTGTGGCCCATGGACAACATTGGTTAAAGGCATCTTGTCTGTATAAACGTTTTTGCATATACCACATTGTTTTTCCCAGTTTTAGTATTTTTATTATCATCACAAAAAGGCGAAAATAAAATATACCTCCAGACTGGGTGTTTTTACAATGCTTTCAACTTGAAATTCGGCTCTATATTTGAAAGGTTAATGTAAAAAACTAATTATATTATCCTGGTAACCAAATGTGTGATGAGACATTTGTCTGTGTAATTAACAGTGAAGAACTTTTATAGTTTCATAAAATCGACTGCTACACGCAGTATGCTTGGAGCATTTGTTTTGAAGAGATGTCCAAAACAGAGATGTTTATGACTGATATAAAGCGGAACTGAAATGTGCTGTAGTGCAGGTGCCTGTGCATTTTACGGCGTTTCACATTGTTGAAATGGAAGGCAGCAGATTAATAACTTTACTATGTCATGATAAAATAAGTAATGTGTTCTTGGAACAGGGGAACGATGCATAAGTTACTCAGTAATTCCAAGAATTTATTCTGTCCCAGGCATAATATCCTTTGCAATTTATTCATAGAGAAAAAGTTGACTTAATATAAGTCTGTGAAGTTACTTGTTACTTTTAATAGAATTATATCCCGAGAATGATTGTTGCAATAATAGCTTCTATAATTAAGATTTCTTTTTTATTTATTTTTAAATATATGTGTGTTTCCTGATGATCCGACTTTGTAAAATGTTTCCCTTTGGGGCTGAAGAGGGCCGTTGTTAATTTTGGCCTAGAATATGTCAAAGAAGAAGGGGAAATTACTGCATTTTTTTTCTTTTAATGATAAGATGCCAAGTCTGTATTTATTGAACAGTTGATCACTTGCAGTTTCCTGAGTGATTTACTTGTTGCTAGTTGTGGCTTAGAAGTGTGTGGTTTAAGTCTACTAGATCTGGTGTGTTGTGTGTGTTTGACCCTGTTCCACCAAGCTCTTGGGAGAAGTCATTTATTGCGGTGGTGACTGGGCTGACCCATGGTCTGATTGTGCTTCCAGTGACATAAAAGTCCAAATCCTGAGACATATAGGGCGCAATCCTGGTTTTGATTCATCAAATTGCTCTGCTTATATCAATGTCTGTGATGGTTATTAAGTTGGCAGATGTTGTAGTAGGCACTGGTATCAATCAGTCCATGTATTTTCCTGCTTTGATTCGGGAGTAGTGATGAGGGGGTGTAATTTGAGAGTGATGCAGTGTAACTCAAGGCAGGATCTGTAGTGCTTAGTGCAGTGTCATGAAGGCAAGTTCTTTGAAAGGGCATTTTAGAGCACGGCTCAGATGCTCCAAGTAAGACAGATTAAATGCGCTAATGATCTGCTTGGGGAGTGGAATTCTGTGGGTCGTAGCTCCTGCTGTGTGACCCGCTGATGGTCTGTGGTCACCACTCTCCCTAATGTCTTGGGTTTTAAGGTTTTAATTTGCCAAGCATGTGGTGATGCCTGTGTCACTTGTTCAGTAGAGGCCAGCAAAGACCAGAGATCTCTTATTTGAGAAACGTGTGCTCATCCTATCCATTCAGCTACACGGATGCCCAATTCAAATTGGCTACTGAGCAGTCACAGCAACTTGCAGTTTGATCTAGGAAACCTCTGGTCTGGCAGAGAAACCCACGTGTTACAGTTCCGCGGAGAGGGATTTGGGAGTCCTGGTTGACAACAGGTTACCCAGGAGGCAGCCGTGTGCCCTCGTGGCCAGGAAGGCCAATGGGATCCTGGCTGCAGCAGGAGGAGCGTTGCCAGCAGGTTGAGGGAGGGGATCCTGCCCCTCTGCTCAGCTCTGGTGAGGCCGCACCTGGAGTGTTGGGGGCAGTTCTGGGCCTCCCAGGACAAGAGGGATGTGGAGCTTCTAGAGAGGGGCCAGCAGAGAGTCACGAAGATGATGAAGGAACTGGAGCATCTATGGTATGAGGAAAGACTGGGTGAGCTGGGCCTGTTTAGTCTAGAAAAGGTTGAGAGGAGAGCTCATCAACATGTACAAGTACCTGAGGGGAGAAGGTAGGGAGGATGGAGCCCAACTCTTCTCAGTGGTGGCCAGTGACAGGACAAGGGGTAATGGGTACAAGTTGAAACACAGGAAGTTCCATCTCCATGTGAGGAAGAACTTTTTTCCTGTGAGGGTGCCAGAGCCTTGGCACAGGCTGCCCAGGGAGGTTGTGGAGTCTCCTTCTCTGGAGATCTTCCAAACCCACCTGGATGCCACCCTGTGCCACGTGCTCTGGGTGTCCCTGCTGGAGCAGGTGTTGGACTAGATGATCTCTAGAGGTCCATTCCAATCTCAGCCATCCTGTGATTCTGTGTGTCTTCTGTCTTAGACCACTATCCAGTAGAAGAAAGAGGCAAAATCAGCTGAGTCCTTGCAAACTCCTCAAACACAACAGCTTAATTTTTCTTGCCCTGTCCCAAGAAGGGCAGGTTTCAGTGGAGCAGCTTTTAATACCTTTAATGGTATAACCTGCATGCTCTGCCACGACTTCTCAAACCGTTTGCATTTGCTTTTTCTCCTTTCCAAACCTTCCTGGACGGGCTGCTCTTGTCCCATCACGTGTGTCCCGTGTGTTTGTCGAGCTGTCTGTTGTCCTGGTTCCCACCCTCCTGATAACTCCTGAGCTTGCTCACCGGCTTCAGACCCATTTGACACAGGGTGGAAATCTGTCCGATACAAAGTTCCTTCAGGAGGCAGCTTGAGGGAAGAAGCAGCGTATTTGTGTAGCCAAGAAAGGAAAAGTTTTCATAGAAGGTCTATCTAACCAGATATAAGAGAACACAGAATGAGACACTAATTTAAAAGAAATCAGCTGCTCATGTATATTACCCAAAATATTTCTCCGAATGTTAAAATTAAGTCCCAGGCCAAGATAGCACTAAAGTTATTTATTTACACAAACCAATCAAAGAAAATATCAAGCACAATTGTCTTGTTAGCCAACCATGGAATCATAGAACCATTAAGGTTGGAAGGGACCTCTAGAGATCACCCAGTCCAACCCCCCTGCACATGCTGGGTCACCTACAGCACGTGGCACCATACTTCATTCATATATACACTGCCCAAGATGTGCCTTAATTACATACTTGATTGCCACATTTCTTATTGCAGTAGTTACATTTTTAGCATGCACATGTGGATGCAGATAATTGTAGAATCTTGTAGCATTGTGGTAATGTTTTGACAATTAAATTACTTGGAAAAGTACATAGTTTGTAGGCAGGGTGCCATATTTACATTAAGTTTAATAAGCATGATAGTGAAAATATGTTGATTCATCAAGGAGCTAAGATTTGAATTATTGAATTATCAATGATATTTCATTAACCAGACTCACTGAGCAGTTGTTTTACTTTTCATGCTTAGCACCTGGGTGCTAATTCCTTTTAGGTTTTAGTTTTTGCATTTCTAATTGTTAACACTTTAAAAACTTTTGAAGCAGTAAGTTATGATAATGTGAACGTGCTTGCAGTAAGGAAAGAGTTTAAATTCATTCTGAAATATTTACCTTCTCTGAGTATTGGATGTAGTATTTGTGAAGGAGGGGTTGTTTTGCCTGTTGCTGTTGTACAAGTTTACAGTCAGTCTTGCAAAAGATTAGATTCTATATGAGGGACCATCACAGAAATAATTATAACAGTAATTTAAACAGCTTTTTGTTGTTGTTGTTGTTTGTTTTAACTATTTATCATTCTCACACAAAAGCTTCTAAATAGGGCTGCAACTTGGCAAGCTTATCTTTTTTTGAGCAATACCTTGCAAGTAAGTTTATTGCTTTCAAAGAAAACCAAAAGGGATTAAAACCAAGGAGTCCCAGAAATCCGAACAACAAGATCTGCCCTGCAGTTTGGTGGTTGGAGACATTCCCCTGTCCTGGGAGCAGTGGGGAATCTGCTACATGGTCAGCCAGTGGCTTCCAGGCCACGGGGAACTACATGGTGGGAAATTCCGGAAAAGAGGAGATAGCATGTGGAATCCTGGTAGGTGACCTGGGAGGTATATTCCAAATATTCCTCCTCTTGGTCCACAGCAGTTATCTCAGGAGACTTTTCAGAGGTGTGATTCAGAGGTGTATGATTCAGATTTCTATGTAATAATCTTCTTTTTCAGGGCTTTATTATCCTGCTGAGCATTTGGAAAGGAGGCTGGCGCTTCCTTAGGACATGGCAGCCTAGGCCTTTTGCTTTTCCTCTATGCTCTTCCTTTTTTAGTCTTTTAAATTACCTGCTTATTATCTGTGAAAAAGAGCAACAGCAGAATAGCCGATAGCAAAATGCTGTTGTTGGGCTGTAAAGCTTATAACTGAATTAGTAAGTAAGGAGCAAAAAGTGAGACTTGTCAGTGTTTCAGGCCACCTGTAGGTTCAGGCAGATGATGTAGCATCAGTCCTTGGGTGTCAGGTGGACTGGTGTTGTAGCTAGGCTAGTACAGATTAAAGACCCCCAAAAATATGAAAAAGTCCTGTGGGGAGGATAAACTCGTACAGAAATTGGAGTCCAGCCTTCTGTGCAAGACAAGATGTATTTTGTAGGGAATCACCCCGGTGTAAATATCTGGGTGTACCTGGGTATGAAGATGCCCTTTTAGGGGCCCAGCTGCAAGCTTGGGGGCTGTTGTAATGTATCAGTATTTTCTGTTTGTAAATAGTGCCCTCGTGCCAGTATAGGGAAAAATCCCTGTGTGGAGGGACAAGGGACCAGCATCAAGGTTGAGTAAACTCAGTTAACTTAAATATTTTATGTAATTGGGGGAAGGGAAATTCAATCTTTCAAGCAAAGCATCACCTGACCAACAATGTAGCAGGCAGGCACGAAACCTGATAGGGGGAAGTGAACAGGAAACCTGGTTCATATTCATAATAATTTTGCGGTTAGCACAAATAGGAGTCGTGAACATAAGGCTGCAAGTGCCCAGCACACATCTCAGTGCTGTGATGAGGATTATTTTGTGTTTTTGTACCGTGGGAGGGTTTGGAGCTCAGGTACGGAACAAGAACCTTCTTGTCAGGTACTACAATGGAGAGCAAAAAGGAAAACTCTTCATGCCAGCGACTTTCAGGTCTAGATATCTCCATAACTGCAGCTTGGTGGTATTTGGAGAGCTCTGGATTCCCAGCAAGGGTGGGAATTGCAAACACTCAACAGCTCAGCCTGCTTTTCAGGGCTCTGGAAAGCGTCGTTTTCAAGTGAAAGGATCTGGGGCTGTGGTTTGTTGGATAACACCCCTCTACACACACGTCCCCCCAGAACCTTCAGGCAAAACAGCCAAATAAACATAGCGTGAAACTCCTCTGGGCGCCTTTGCTAGAGTGGAAACAGCGGCCGCCCCGGGTTCAGAAGTATTTCCGACCTTGGGCCAGGAAGCTCTCCCGCGAGTCGGGAATGGGTTGGGATGGGCTGGAGCCAGCTGGCCTTTTCCCAAAGGGAAGCGGAGCTGGCCTGGCCGCCGGCACGTGGGTCGGATGGGAGCCCAGGCCTCCTCGCCTCCCTTTTTCTGGAGCAAAAAGCATCCTCGCGGGGCCTCCCCAGGCGTCCCGGCACGCGGGTGCTGAGCGGCTGTTGCTGCTTTTTTGGTGTTTCCAGGCAGCCATCGAGCGTGTGCGGGTGTGAGCGGCACTGGCTTGTGCGTGGCATTGATAAAGCTGTTTGCTAACCCGTGTGTTGTGCACGTTTTTGAAAACCCAACAGGTGGATGCCCTGGTTCAACAAGGTATCATCATGCTTTCTTCTCTGAAATTCCCTTTGCACACATGTTCTTCCCCAAAATGCAGGTTTATTTGGTGAAGTGAGACTGTAAATTCATTAGAGGATGCCAAATATTAAGTATATTATAAAAAGAGGTTGATCCATCAATGTCTCGATCTTCGTTATTTCATTTGCTGAGGATGTTTTGTTTTTCTATTAACAGAAAAAATAGAAGCTTCTTATTGCAGAAGTGATTATGAGCACTTCTTTATGACTAGTGAAATGTAATGCATGCTTTAACGAGCAAAATAGCTACTATCTGCCCAAAACATATATATTCATTGTGCAATCAGCAGTTTCATACATAAAATTAATACTTAAATGGTGCCAAGAGTATTAAAATATGTAATCATTGTTATATAAATGTGCTGAATTTGTTTGAAACGGTCGCATTTTTCTTGTATATATTTTCTTTTAGCTTTCATAATCTGTACTCTCAAGACATCCAGCAGTTAGGCTGTTTAGTTATACATGTATTAGCTGCTGCTTAATTTATTCCTCTGTAATCCAGTATTATTAAATTCTGTGGACTAAGGAACTGATCTTGTTCCATTAGAATCAATAGACGCTGTGTTACCCTGTGTGTGTGGTGTTATTTATTTATTTATTTTAATTTCTATCCTTATGAATGTAGCAAGCTGATATATAAAGTGTCTGATCCTTCAGGCTTTGCTTAAAAAACATCCACTGATGTCAGTGCCTGAGTAGGATCAGCCTTTATTTGAAGCTGCTCTCGCTATTATGATTTCTTTCTGGAGAAAAATAATCTTACTCATCAAAGCATTAGAAATAGCATGAAGTTTTTTTTAGGTCTTTTAACCGTGGGAGATCTCAACCATTACTGTGTTAAAGCAGAGCCTAGTACCTACTAACTACTGCTCAACCATGTCTTTTCTTTCTCTTCTTTATTTATTTATTTCCTATTCCAACAGATAGAAACTTACTGGCATCTAAAATCACTAATCTCTACCCATTACCGTTTTTCGCTAATTTACAGTGATAACTGTGGCTCTGTTTTCATTAGGAGATGAAAGCCGGGAAATTAAAAAACAAATTACAGGGATGAGAAGATTACTGAATGACAGCACTGGAAGAATCTATCAGCGAGTTGGCAAAGAAGGAGAAAAACTGAAGGAGGAGCCCCAGGAATTAGACGTAGCCTGGGCCCAGCGCCTGCACCCCCCTGCAGAGTCCCAGACAAGCCTTCATGCTTCCCAGAGTGGTGCTTGGAATGAATTGCCTCCCCAGGCTAGCCATTTTCCAGGGCAATATGGAACTCGGTCCAAAACATTCCAAAATCAGACACGAGCCGCAGCATCCAATGGTATGATCTGCATTAGATAGTATTTTTTTTTCCTTGTGCTGTTCTACGTTTCTGCCTTTGTTCCCATGGTTTATTTAGCACTGCACTGAAATCAGTTAGAGCTCAGAGGCTGTAGTTTCAGGTGCGAAAGTGGCACGGTGAATTCTGCTACCATCTGCCTCAGGTGTTACAGTGAATTCCTGACGAGAGGACAGAGTTGCTCAATACTGCTATGCAGGCTTCATTTCTATATAGAACTTGTTAAAACTGCTTTTGCTGTTGTTATTAAATTCACGGCTAATTAAATGTCAACTTCTACCACTTACCTTTGCAATGAGTAACCTGGTACTGCTGTGATGCCACTTGTGGAGCAGGATTCTGCTGATCTTCGTGAGGTGGCAGCGTTGGCCAATAACTCCCAACTTCAGGTCCAAAATCTGAGTGTTGCCCTAAGGTTTTTCTTGTGATGGGATCACTGGCGAAAACCTGCGAGGGAATCTAGCTGTCATTAACATGTACTAGAGCACAGTCCATCTTGTTCTAGTGGGGAATTCTACTCTCTAGTAGGGGGTAATATGCCCTTTAAGTGCTTTTCTCTCTTATTTTCAGCTCCAAAGAATGGTGATTTTACTGAAGTCTGCTCAAGTTTTTGCTTAACATTCTAAATTCGATTCAAAAAGTGCTTCCCTCGATGGTCAACTCTAAAGTTAGATTTTATATATATATATAAAAGGCATTATAACATCTTGAAAATCACAAATTGTGAGATGGCATCTGAAAACATTATCAGTTTCCAGAGGGCTCCAAAGGTATCCACACTTTCTATGTAGGGATGTCTACAGTGTATTTTTATCAAAAGCTCCCATATTCTTACTGCTTCTAACCATTGCAAAAAATATAACTATTATTATTCTCCGCACTGTAGAGGAAGAAGTACAATTCCTGCACTAAAAAGCTTACAGTCATCGTTTTCACAGGATTGACTGTTTCCCAGTATAGACAATGATTCACGCGGATGTACTGGGTGACCTAGAGAAAGACGTTGAAGTAACTCATTTCATAGCTATGCCAGTTTTATTCATTTTAACAATACCAAAAATAGTTGAGCTTTTTAAAGATATGCAGTAATTTAGAAGCAGATCTAGAGGAGAGAGGAAGGCACTTGGGTGGATTTAGCATTATTAAAGGTTTAGCATCATGGTTTAAAAAAAAAAAAATCTCAAATTCCCATCTTGGCAACCTTCTAAATGTGGAAGGGCCTGAAATTCACTGCACATCTCCCTCCGTGGCCTGAGCATTCCCAGGCACCTGCAGGGACAGTTCTCTGCATGCACATAAATGCCCAAGCCTGCCCAGCTTAGGAGGCCTGTTCCCGGATCCCGGAGGTAGGTGGAGCGGCACCTATATCCCCATAGGGGCCAAAACCTGGTGACACAACCGGGCCCCCCTACGCAGCAGAGTGTCACCTACTTGCTCATACAAGGAGCGAGGCTTGGTCTGAGCCGTGAGACGCCCCGTGGGCTAGAGGACTTGGGCTGGGTGGCCCGCTCGGCGGGGCAGGATCAGTGCCCAGCTCTCCGGTTGTCCCGGGAAGTGCAGCAGGGTGAGCCTGGGCGGAGGCTCCTTCCCGCCTCCCCGCAGCTGCTCTGCTGCAGAAAGGAATGTGATCCGGAGGCTATTGCATAAAGCAGGGTGTGGGCCCTCTCCCCTGGCCATGCTGAAAAGGCAACGTGTGTAACTCTTGGAGAGCAAGAGTGGAGGGGCTGCCTTCAGCAAGACCTGGCTCCTGCTGGACCGTGGCTGCTTGGCCTGGGACATCCCATCTCTGGCGAAGGGGGGGTTTTGGATGCACCTCTGGGCAGCGAGCAAGCTCCTAAGCCCCTTCTCAACCAGCTTACAGCCCTCGGGTACCAAAATGTGCCTCGTTTTCCCCCAGCCTTTGTGTTGGGAGTCTTGGAGCCTAACTCAGGATTTGAGCTGCCCTTTGGAGGACAAGGTCCTTAAAATCTGGGAATGCTGAACTGTACATTTAGAGAGATCCTAATCCTTGGTACTCAACGCATGACAGTATTTAAACTGATGGGAGCAAAACTGTTTAGCCAGCCCTGATGGCCCAAGGTAGTAGGTTTGCTTCACAGGTCATCACTGGAGAGATGTCCAGGCAGCAATAGCCCGTGGTCCCTGCCTGGAAACTGTTCCTGTCCCTTGTACAGACCCTCTATAGGCAGTAGGGGTCTGGCAGACTTGTGTAGCTGCCTGGATGAACGACTCAATTTGAACAGGGTGGAGGGAATCTGCCTGGTGTAGCTACCAGGCTGCATCAGGGAAAGGCTGCACTGAGGGGAAGATCCGGAAGATCCATCTTCTCTGCAGTGGATGCTGCTGTGGCAGGTAGTGGAGAAAAAGGTACTGGCAAGAATGGCCTAGGAAAGAGAAGGAGGAACAGGGGCAGAAAAGACTTCGTTGCAACAGGGGGAAGAGTAGAAGCATATTTGGAAAATGCAGCGGTTTGGTCTAAATCAAATTCAAGACAGCAGCTTTACAAGTCGGGATGTTGGGTAGATGTCTGTGACCCACTGATCTCAGTGGAAGCCTTTTGGGGTTACAGTGATCCTGCCTGGAGTTTGGGACTAGCTAGTTGGTCGACAAACTCTTAGAAGATGGGTCTAAAATATTTTCATTTCGTTGCTTGTGTTCTGTAGCAAATGTGGCAGCGATGCAGCAGCTGAAGGGCTTTTTGGTCATGCCAGGGCTGCTCTCAGTGTCTTGCACTTGCACACTCTTCTAATGCGAACTTGCACCAATGTTACACTAGGTGCATTTTACCCCCAACAGATCCATCTGCAAGAACCACTATCCTGGGCCACTTGGTGCTCACTAGGGGAAGCAACTAATACATTTGTGTCTTTTTCTCTCAATCATGCAAGCCACCATCAAATTCACATGCTGGCTAGCTTCCAAAAGGAGGGAGATGGCTCTTTAAAGAGTCCTTCATAAAAATAAGAAGTCTGTTCTCTTTTTAAAATTAAAAATTGATTTATAACAAGTGGAAAAGGGTTGCTTTTTGTCCTCTAAAAATGATAAAGATAGTGCTTGGAACAATGACTGAAAACACTCTACACAATGCTTCCTACATCACAGCAACTGATCAGAAGAGGGAGGATAGAAGTAAAATAAAAAAGCCCCATGAATATGTATGAAGTCAGTAGAACCCTGCTTTGATTTGAAATATTGGTGGTCTCTTTTCCTATTTCCAGTACCTATGGTAGATTTACACGGGTAATTTCTATCAATGCTAATGGGGGATTATAATGTAAATCCCCCATGCCTCAATGGGAAAACAGACCCTTGCTTTTCCATCAGGAGCTCGAGTGCCTGCAAGGTTTCATTAGGAATGCATTATATTGCAACAGGAGAGAGAGACAGGTATTTACTGATAGAAGTTTTTACATGTAAGTCATCACAGTGTAGAATCTCTGCTAAAAAGAAAACAAAAGTCAGCAGCCCTATGCCCTGCCAAAGTCTTTCAGATGGTGTTTGCAGAAGGCTGCTAAAAGGTTGGATTCTGAGCAGCAGAGAGGACAGGCCTCATCTCACAGAGCTTATCAGTTGGAATCAACAGAGAGAAGAGAGGAAGCTCTGGAGACGCCCAGAGAAAGGGATGTTTAGGATTTTCTTGCTCTGTGTTTTTCATACTGTTAAAACTCTCCACATTTTCTGGGCTTCCATGTTTGTAAGAAACAGCTATTATGTTTCTGGTCCTTGCCTTTCTGAAAGGCAGGGATCTGTGCTGGTTCGCTTGAATTTAAAAGTAATCTTGAACCGTATCTATTTCAAAAGTCTAAGTTTAATGCAGAAGTAAAGGGTATCGTTGGAGCCGAGTTTTAGAGATTGACTAATCTGTTGCAAGGCTAAAGACAGTATATTTTTTCCTATATGCTTTTAACAGTGCGCTAACACACTGTTAGCAGAGATAAAATCCAATCTGAATAGACAATGTACAAAGGAAGGATGAGATCAAACTAGACAGAGTCATACTGACTCAGTAACCTGCTTTTTGTTTTTTTTTTACTTTTTGTTTTTAATCTCTTCCAGATTGCTTTATAATTTTTTTAAAAAGTCACATCTGAAGAGAAGATAGACTCCCAGAATTGAGTCTGTCCCATTCAAGTTTGCCAGATTTGCTGAGCTTCTCATACAGTGGTCCTTCAACTAGTGTTTTTATATTAACAGCTTATGTCGAGGCTAATATATTAAAATACCAGTACTTGTAATTGCAGTCACGGAGGCAATCTAAATATCAGAGGGAAGGAGGAGATTGATAACCAGGAGATATAAAGAACTTGGAAGTGACACATCAGTTTAGTTTCACAACTAACTCGCTCTGGGGGGAATGACCACCAGTTTGCTCAAGTCTGATAAATGTTGCCCAAGATCTGAAGGACTGAGTGGAAGGAGGTGGAAAACCAGCACTTGGAAAAGGACTTCTGAGGGTGGCAAAGCACATTGGAAAAGCTAAGAAAGCAATCAATTTAAATGACTCTTAAGTACATTTTTAAATAAAAGAGGTACTTCCCATCTAGGCTCAACTTCAAGCAGATACCACTAGGGTGTTTTTTGTTTTGTTTTGTTTTGTTGTATTTCATAATTTGTATTTCTAGTATTAAAGCTAAGAGTCCGCTTACTTTAAATTAAAGCACAGGATACAACTTCTGAGGCAAACCATAAAATCTCTGCCCTGTTACAGCCTGTCCTTATTTAAGGTCTTCAATGTAGAACTTCTGGAAAGCAAGGCCATAACAAAAGCATTGCAAAGGGATAGAAATAGAGGTCTGTAAGTTCAGTTAAATACTGGAGTGAGTTACTAGAAAAGAAAAATCTGTTGAAATACTGTGCCCATCTTCAAAAAGAAGCTATGGAAAACCCTTCTGGTAGGTCACAGGTTTAGAAAGTTTGTCATGGAAAACAATCCCACATGAGCAAAGAGAAGAAAAGATTTGAAAGCTTTCCTTCTGATGGTTCTTCTCCAGTCTGTTTTTTTTTTTTTCTTTTTTTTTTCCCTCATACTCTAGGTAGAAGATTTTACTTTCATTCTCAGTTTTTCATGTGGTAAACTCTCACAAGTAGCTTTCGAGCAGTTTGAAAATTCTTGGCCCCTCGTTTACTGTTCTGTGTAAACCTTTATTGCGCAAACTGCTCTTCCTTCTCTGCAAGGCTCTTTGGGGATGGGCGTTTTGGGGACGTGAGAAAGTGACCATGTTTATCATGAGCTTTGGTGCTGTTATTCCAGATGAGGAAGCCTCACAATAGCGAGCCTCGCTGTGCAGAGTAGGTTGTATTCACACTCTGTGCACTCTTCTGCAGCCCAGGGAACATCGCATCACCTAGTGTATATAACTGCATATACTGGTATTTGGATATAACTGACTGGGAAGATGTTGGAAGTTACTTGCTTTCTAGCTTTGGATCTAATTTTGTGATTGTGTGTATTGATGCTAGATTCAGGTTTGTGGTGGCTTGTTTGTTTTTTGTGTTTTTGGGGGGGTTACATCATTTGGCCCCCACTTCATTCCTCCCTTTTTTTTTTAGGAGAAATTCCAATGGTGAATTCATCAGTTGGACCAAACTGCTGTACATGCAACTGCCAGTCAACTCTACAGGCTATTCTACAAGAGCTCAAGACCATGAGAAAGTTGATGCAGATTCAAGCAGGTACAATGATCATCCCACTCATGCATATCCATGAATAGCATTCTGGTTTTAGGAAGAATGGTCAGAGAAGCTACAACTCTATCTGGAGACTCAGGAGAACCTTGGCTGTTGCCTGCTTTCCTGACATGTCACTCAAATTTTCACAGGCTCTTCTGGAAATGTAATTTTTAATCCTCTGGGCCGCAGTTGCTTATCAGCAGCATAGGATGTTATCTTGTAAGAGTCTTTTAAGGCTAAATTCAATAAAAGGCTATAATACAGTTAAGTAGTCTAATAATGGAGAGTTGTGTGAGCAAGTTAATATGCCATAACCACCTCCAGTTCCTATTTTCTTGGTGCATTCATTCAGATGCACAAAATCCTATTTTACTTCTTATTACCCAGATCACTAATCTTAGAAGGAAAAACTAATTTGGAGGCCCACTTACAGCTGCTGTACACTGCTTTTCATTCAAAGACATTTCAGGTTGCAGCTCCATGGTGGCCTAAGCCGAGCTGGGTGCTGCATGCTGTGGCCTGTGCCTGTTTTGGGGCTGCTTCCCCCGTCCCTCTCTTAAGCTGTTTCTAGTGGCTGAACTAGCAGATACCTGTTCATTATTTGGGAGAACTAACGGGGAGAGTTTTCCGCTAGGTTAGGAGCTGAAACAGGAAAGTGCAAAGCCAGAAGAGCGCTAGAAGCAGCAGGATGATGAGACCTTGGCAGCCGGCAGTTAGGTAGGTCCTGTAGGCTGCCGCGAAGCTGCAGCCGCCGTGCTTCATTCAAACAACACATAGTGTTAATGCAAACGGGGAATCCAGACACACGTGTTGGCAGTAGACTGAGCTCCCCGTCCGTGGAGACTGGGGCAGTGGGGCCGTGGAGGATTTTCTCCTAGAATCAGACCTCTGTAAGAAAAGGGAGTGTTGAGGAATGACATGAACTCAGGGTGGAGTGAGGGGTGACTAAGTTCCTTGTATCCACGGCGTGCAGCGCGTGGGTGAACGAAGGGAAAGATCAGACAGGTTTTGTAATGTAATGCCAGTAACAAATGCTTTTCTAAAAGTCCCTGGTTCACAAAGAAGTGCACGAAGGCCCAGTTTAACAGTCCTTGCCTGGGCAAGGAATTCTTTACGCAATTGCACAAGTGTCATTTAAATTGCGCCCATGATTAAAAATGCCTTGTGGATAAAAGATATCAGAGATAAGAGATGTGGGACTAGGGGGTATGTCAGAGGAGCTGGCTCCTCAATAGCAGGAACATTTCTTGTTTATTATGTGTCTAATTAACGAGTGTCTTGATGAAATAGGTTTGAGAATAGTTCGTATTTTCTGGTATGCTTGAAAAAAACAGGTTTTGCAAAGAACAAAGATGTTTTTGTTGCTAGAGAACCTAAAATACAAACATGCCAGTGAAAGTGTAATAACTTATTTTGATATTCAGACACCCTTCTGTCTGAACGTCAAAGTCCAAATTCCAACATTTAAAATCCACACCAGATATAAAATACCCCAGAAATCTTTTAATAAACAGCATCTTAGGGTTTTCTTTTTTTTCCAGAGCTTTCTACCATTTATAGTTCATTCATAGCTTGCACATCTTTGAATTGCATATGACAAAGCAAAGATACTTAGCGATTTGGACTTTTTTTTTCTTTGACCTTGATCTTGTCAACTGATCTGCACATACAGATCCTTGTATTTGCATAGGATTCTGCTTGAGGACTTATTAACACAGAAGCAGGTTCAGGATTGGTGCCTTAATTTGTACAATTGCTTTTGGGTCCTGAAAAATGCAAAATATTAATATGAATATGAAATAAGACCTCTCCATTTCTCTATGCAAACAAAAACTGGTATAAGTTTGAGTTACTTTTTTCATGGACATTAAACTGTTCAAGAGTATTTTCGCTCATTCTGGGCATAATGGTACTTAAAATGTTCTTGCGGAGCTAATTAATTTGGTGACTACATTCAGAAAATAACGGTAATTGGATTAGCACTTGCGTTGTTTTATCAGTAAAAAATGCTCAAAGACAATGAGATTCTCAGGCATTCAGGAAGATATTCAAATTAATCATTGCTTAAGTCCTTCATGTCACCAACCATCCTGTGGTCACTAGTCAAAAGAGCCACGTACTCCTAATTTTCCTAAAAAACTATCCATCCTACCCCTTAAAACACCTCATAGTGGAGCTCAGTGTCATTATCCCCATTGTACAGATTGGAAAATTATGCAAAGGTGATAAAATGTAACTGTTTCATATGCACAAACAGCATTGAAAATGGTATCATTTATCCAGAAGATGAGTTGAGCATGTCAGTAGTTTAATGGTGCGTCTGTAGGGTTGTGAGTGTGTCTTTTTGTCTATAAATTTAATTCATTCCTTCTCTTTCATTCAGTTGGGACTCAAAACAGACAGCAGCCCCCTATTCCTCTGATCTGTGCGCAAAAGTCGACAATATCAAGAAAGAGAAATAAAAAGAAAAAACTGCCCCTCAAAGCTGCTGATCCAATTGTAATGAACAAGAAACCCAGCGCTGGTGAGGGTGAAAAGAAGCTTTTGGCAAACTCTGAACGGCCAAGTCTGCAAGCAGTAGAACCCTCTCTGAAACTGGAGACCCCTGTTTCAGGGTTTGGAATTATCCTTGAATCAGCTTCATCAGATGTAAGTTAATATTTTGATACATGGCCTGACAGGTTTTTCAAACACTGATTAATTCTGGAGGATTAGCACTCGTGTCAATTTGCAGCGTGTTCCCTCTTCTCGTTAAAATAAACCAGCAAAAGTTGGGTGGATTTGGACGGAGGTAGCAGAGATAGACCTGGAGAGAGCTGATTACAGAGTTGTTTTTTTCCACTTTCTAGAGCTCGTAGTTGTCTTGAATTCAAGGCTCCCTATTGCTTGAGCTTGCAGTGGAAACTTGTAGCTCTTCATCTGTCTTGCTGCCAAGAGCCACCGTGAGATCGAAGCTGTGGAAAGTGTTGCGTGTACGAGCGATTCACAACCCTGTCATTTGCTGATTAATGCATGTAGTCCACACGTGTACCTTTATCCTGCCAAAATGCATTTATGTGCTTCATTTTATGCCTAACTTGTCCCGCGGGCTTCACGGGGCTCCTCACATCCACAAACTCCGCAGCAAAGTCCAACTGGGTCGTTCTCCTTCACCGCTGCGGTTGCCACATAAGGGCCTTGACGCTGTCAATGACATCAGTGTGACTAAAATTTCCTGCCCTTAAAATGGTACTTGCCACTTGTAAAAATGCACTAAGCATTTTTTTTTTCATTCACAGAACATGTATATGTTGATAGAAATTTCCCATAAATGGTGGCTTATTGGCTTTATGTAATGACCGAATAGTGTCTTCTGAAGAATTCACTGATGAGTAAACTGATCATTAATTTCTCTAATATATTTTTAATTTAATAAGGCAGGGGTTTTCTTTCCTAAGTACTGTGAGGTTAAAAAAAAAAAAAACACATAATTAAATTCTGTATCAATGAGTGTAAATGAAAACAATGCTGCAGATAATGTTGTACCTTTGTGGAAGTGGGAACTAATAATAAAAAAGAGCAGTCATGGTAATTCAGTTATATAGATGCAAGCCACGCCACTAATCAGATTGCCGTGTTGTGCCTTAGTGTCTGTGGTACAAAGTGGTACAAAGCTATGGGCTTTTCTGAGGTTCTCCTCTTGCGCTGTTATGGTTAGTAGTGTTCAAGGGAATGCTTTGGGGAGGGCTTCATAATTAGTCTCCAAAATGTAGTTTATACTTACATTTTTTTCCTTGTTTGTGGCATTATTTGCAGTTTGAGAAATAGTTTTGAGGACAGTTTTGTGCTTGCAATGAGTTTAATTTGGTTTTGTGGATGTGTTCCATCGCTGGACATAATTTTCGGACATGCCAATCTGCATTTAAAATAAAAGCAACACCTCCCCAAAACCCCACGGCTCCTAAATCAGCTTCTTACCTGCCCTTCATGTTTGGCATATTTGCCACAGTAGTTGGTTGAATATATTTGCAGTTAGAGCCCAAAGATAAACAAATTGATTCAGAAAACAGATAAATCTAACAGTGAAAACAAAATATGACCTTAAGTGTTTTGACAAGGCTAAATAGAGTAATTTCCTTCAGAGTGAATGGTGGTGTTCTCTTTTACTGTTAATTCATAAGCATCTATAGTTTGCTCATGCCCAGTGTGTCCAAGTGCCTGAAGAAAGACATTTTACACGAAACCAGAAATGAATGTTTCTCTTTTGAATAGTGTGAGTTGTCTGCAGTGTGTTGTGCGTCACTCCCATGCCAGGTCTACTGCTGCCACTGTTATTTTCTTCACTTTTATTCCACTTTAAGTTGATCTCCATTTCATTTATATAAAAGCAAGGCCAATTCACTGAAAGTAGTGGATAGTTTGGACTTGTTGAGATGTAAAAACACTGTTTATGGAGATGAAAAAGGTCTTGATTGAGCTCTGTAGGACCAATTCTTAATCTGACCCATGCATCAAATAACCTGTTTTTTAAATGGAACAAGCTTTTAGGTAAACTTTCTTGTATTTGTTTTACTGTAATAACATTTTTTTTTGTAAACTGGTAGAGGCTTTGCATTTCTAATCCTTACAACATCCTGAAATGTCTGAGGTTAAACCTAATTTGCTGCCTGCACAGCAAAAGCTTTTGGCATTCAGGTCTTACTTGTATCACTGTACACGAACAGTTTCCCCCACAGTTCTTTATACCATGATCATTATCTCCTAACAAATGCGTTTCCTTTGGATAAATCACATTCAAAGTGATCATAAAGCTCAATTAGGTACTGATTGTCTTTGATTGAAGAATAATTTGCCACTAAAGGAAAGCAAGACGAAATTATGTTTTGCCTTCAAATCATTTTGCTGATATACAAATTGTTTCAGTTATTAAAAAGAAAAAAAGGTGCAACTGCAATAAGATTGGCTCCTCTGCTGATGCACAGATGAGGTTTCAGGTATATTTTTAAAATGTATAAATGAGAATAGCTTGTCTGTGCTACACTGCTCGTATCACTGAGGTCCTGCTAGATGGTGAGGTAGGACCAGCATAGGGAACCCTCCTCACCTTGAGGGCCTCGTTGGGTTTTCTGGGTAACACGAAGTAAGATTTTTCCCAAGTTGTCAACTTGGCCCACATTTATTTCCACTTGAAAAACTTTTCCATCACCAGAAACTTTGGAAGTAGCATATTAAAAACCCACCCACATCAGAAATCATAGAATCACAGAATGCTTAAGGTTGGAAGGGACCTCTAGAGGTCATCTAGTCCAACCCCCCTGCACACGCAAGGTCAAAGATCATCAAAAAGAATAACTGACTTTCTTACTGAGTCAGCATTTTGGAAGAGCTCAAGGTTTAAAATAAAAATAAAACTTTTCATCAAAGCCCAGCTGAAAATCTTGCTTGCTTTTCTGTATATTTCGAGATTCATCCTGTCTTTTTAAAGCACTGTAATCTTCAGCTTTTTTTGTATATGTGGCACAGTGCATGTGCAAACCCAGAGGTAGGAAACGCTTTGAAAATGCTCTGCTTGCTGTAGCTCTCCTGATGGTGCTTAGAAAATTCTTGGGGAAGGAGTTGCACAGCCAAATTCCACTGAGACTGGCAGCCCTTCCTGCTATCCCAACTCAAGGCGTTTGCAGGTGATTCCATGTGCGATGGCACTTGTTCTTGTTCTGCAAATACCTTCAAAAATCACCGCCGAATATGTTTTTTTTACTTAAAATAACACTATAGACTTGTTTTTGATATTCTTTTCCATATCTTCTTATATCATGACCACTCATTCTTTTCTTTTTCTGTTGCTTTCTTCCAGATAATATCCTGAAAAATTACACTCTTTTCATAATGCATCTTCATTCTAAATATATAATTATTTCATACAGGCACCTCGTGCAAGCATTATGTGGAGCAGAGGTTGTACAAGAAACTGCCATAAAATATTGCTATAAATACTGGTCATGTAATTTCTGATATGCACAGACAGGGGCAGCAAAAAAAGTCCCAGCAAAGGGAGTTACTTGAAGGCCTTTGCTTTGGCCTGCGATGTACTTGAGATGATCTAGTGAAATACAGGATCATTTTCTCTTCTGCTTCCCTTCCACCTTGTTTTCAGACAGTAACATAAATCTCTGTGATTTACACTGAGGGGTTTTGTGCTAAAATAAACAGTTTATATAACATGTGCTCAAGGTGCGTTTGGGGGATGTGGAAGGAGGGAGATGAGACAGCTCAGCAGACACTGGCCGTAGAGACAAGCCAGCCCTTGTCCTGTGTGTTCCTGTGCATCCCTCGTGCAACTGTGGCCCTCCTGGGAAATACATGGAAGGTGCCGGTATCCCTGCCAGCGGCCTGCCTGGAAGCGCCTGGCTGCCCCAAACAGGCCCATTTAGCTCATTTGGCAGTGAAGCAAGTCCATAAAATGGTTGGATAAATGTCCTCAAGCATTGTGTGAGAATATTGCTCTGGGATGAACGCTGTTCCTCTAGCCTGTAATTATTATCCACTATTGAAAGGTATTCTCTGCATTTTTGTTAGCTCTACGCCTAGAAATAATGTCAGTGATTCTTAACTATTACAGAGGGTAGACATGAGTATGATTATTTGATTTGCCTTTTAAGGTGCTTATTCACTGGTGGGTTTTGATTTCAATGAATTAGGCTGCTGTGATACTCAGTAGCTGGAAGAGGATTCATGGTTTGATTATTTAAGTGATTGTAAAGTCTCGCCAGATGCATGACTGAAGTAAAATAACGTGTTTGAATGCTATTTTAATTAAAACATTTGTGCTCTTTTGGTAGCCAGAAGTGCAACTTGCGGAAGGCTTTGATGTCTTCATGCCCAAATCTCAGCTGGACTCTATATTATCAAACTATACTCGCTCAGGAAGCCTGCTGTTTAGGAAGCTGGTGTGTGCATTTTTTGATGATGAGACTTTGGCTAACTCTTTACCCAACGGCAAAAGGAAAAGAGGGCTCAATGACAACCGAAAAGGACTAGACCAAAATATTGTGGGTGCAATAAAAGGTATGTTTTGCTTCTTCATATGTTTGCTTAGAATGCTTTATCAAATAAGGAAAGTGCAAGGGGAATAGTATTTCTGATGTATTAGGTCTGTTAAAATATGCAGTCTTATATTTGTGCCCATTTACTTTTTAAAACAGGAACAGTCTGTGTTAAGTTTGAGCTGGTGGTCCCAGTTTCAGAAGTCAAGGTCTAAAGTTAGAATCTCAATGTTCGTTTAAAATAACACATTCTAGATATCAGAGGTGCAAAGAAATCTTGAAAACATAATCACAGTATAACTGGTCCTTTCCGGACAAAACTCTGAGATTTGCTCTACGTGTGATCCTGTGTGCTGTGTGAATAGCTCAGTAGTTTATGCCTGGATTGGGGTGAGAAGGAGGAAGATGAGATTGACGGAGGACAAAAGATGAGATTGGTGTTCGTAAGGCCCGTGCTTCCCCTTTTCTTGTGGGAGTGAATTTCTTAATCAGCGCGAGGATCCCGTGCTGGGTGGTTTTTCTTAGTGCTCAAGTCTTTCAGGGTTCCAGAAGAGCATGTCTGCCATCAAACTGTGTGGTCCAAACATGTAAAGACTTGGTATGAGGTCAGAGACTTGGAGCTGGATTGTGTTAGCTTGAAGTGTGATGTACCAGGAAAAAATCCTCGTTAGCAAAAGACAGGCTGGGTTGCAAAGCAGAGCTTCCTCAGAGCATGCGGTTTGCCCTGAGACACAGGCTATTTAGCCTAGGAGATACAAGGCACTGAGAAGAGCTCTAAGTGCACTGGCAGCAAAAGGAGGCAGAGGAAGAGGGACAAAGCACATGGAAAAGGCGAAGATCCTTGGTGTTCTTTGCCTCAGCATTCCCTGGGGAAGCAAGACCTCCCAGCCCAGCAGCCCAGTCTGTGGGAGGGAATGGACATATTTCCATTACCACAGGAGAGCCTGCACCCTGGCTGCCCACGGAGCAGCTTTGCTGCTGACAGAGCCTGACTCTTCTCAGAGGTACCTGGCAATGAGAAAAGCAGCAGGGGACACAAGCTGGAACATGGAAAATTTCAATTTGACATGAAGAAAATCTGTTCACTGTGAGGGTGGCCAAACACTGGAGCAGGACCTAGAGAGGCCGTGGGATCTCCGTGCTTGGAGATACTGGAAACTCAGCTGGATGTTGTCCTGAGCAGCGTGACCTGGTTGCTCTGCTTTGAGCAGGAGCTTGGACACAGGAACCTTCAGGAGTCTTTTTCAAGCTGCCTGGTTCTCTGATAAAGTAATGTTGTCATGTCTTAGTCTTCATACATCTCACAGAGTTTCTAGCAGACTTGATTTAGCCCCTTTCCTGACCCTGGAGGGAGAAAAAGAGAGGGATTTTTAGTTTCAACAGATACACTTTTATCTGTGGTGGTACCACGAGGTACCACTAGTACAGTGGTACAGTGCTAACAGTAACACTGACCTTACTGGCACTGCTAGTGCTTCTCGAGTGCTGGTACATGATGCCCATTAGCTTCACAGGGGTGAAGGCTGTGGCAGAAGAAGGTGCCAAGGGCTGATGAGTGCATAAGTGAGTGAGACTGTGGGTCTTTACTCAGCCTGGCTCCAAGAGCACCCGATTTCCATTCAAAGAGCTGGACTGTAGGACACTGTGCTTCCATTTATTCAGAGAAATGACTGAGCCAGTATGAAGTCTCCGTGGGAACAACGTCATGTTGTTTGCATTATTTCACTGGGATGTTCCTCCGCCACGGTGGTGCGTTAGCCCCGTTCCACCACAGAGACAAAAGTGGAGAGAAAAGGCCACATTCACAACAGAAATTAGCGGAGAACTTAAAGAGAGACTCTTTGCTGGAAATTTGCTCTTGCTGGCTCAAAACATTTTAATTAACCACCAACTTTACAAATAATTTAACACTTTTGCCACAGGATGATTACCCAGGGAGAAGTTCTGTCTTTTGACTTGGGGTGTATGCAGGGGCACTCTTTGAATCCAAGTTTTTCCTTTTCCTTGGGAGTCACATCAGGCTTTTTCTCCAACTCTCTTAAATGGGAATAACACTGTCAAATAAAAATTGATACAGGGACTTTTTTTTTAATAAATAAAAGGACAATCAAAGCTATACAATTCAACCGACAATTTCATTTAAGAGAAGAGCAAGCAAATTAACAAATCTGCTTTCTATGGCTATCAGCATCTGTTTTCCCATGCGGGAGCAGAGAGGTAGGTGTAATTCCAAACATTTGCCATCGGTGACCTGGACACGGCCTCGTGCTATGGATCCCCACCCCAGCCCTGGTCACAAACGTGGATTATAGCTACAATATGGAAATAGAGGTGTAAGACATAGATCAGGTTCCCGTCGCACTCGCTGCACAATTTCAGAAGAGAAAGATCATTTCTACCTCCAAAAATCCAGCAATTGTAGAAAATCAGACACTGGCCATGTATGGAGCTATACTAACTTCCCTGGGAAGGCATGAGAGTTGGCCCTGTGTCCTTGCCAATGGGATTGTGCAGGGAAGTATTGTTAGGCTGCAAAATGTAAAGCATTTGGAAAGTACAACAACTTTTTGGACCCTTTATATCTATCGAATGGTTGTTTCAAAAACGTGTGTATAAAAATACCAAAGTTGTCACTATTTCCTGAATGCTTCCTCACATCGTTTATTTGACATTTATTCTCAAAGATTTCAAATTCTTTGAGCTGGGATCATTTTTTTCCTTTGTTTGCCCGTCATAATTGGACACCAGATTCTGGGACCTCTGACCACCACTACAATAGCAATACTAACAGTGTATTTCTGCTCTTGTTTACTTTTCACACACCTCTCCGTTGCATGATGAAAATCAGTTGCATCAGTTTCACTCCATTTGCAATTTCATATTTTCAATATAACACTGTTAGGTTTGCTGCAAGGACAGCACAGAATTTCCTTTTGTGAATGGATTTGGAAGGTAGTGTTGGTCCTGGATGTATTATGTTTACAAAATATAAACTTGGACCTAAATGATACTTACTTTTCTCAAGAATAACTTTTAAAAATAGCTTTAAAAATCTCTGTTCCATCTAGTTTGGCAATATGAAAACTGTGTAGATTTCTGCAGCCGTAGTGCTTGAATCTTTCATCAGATAGCTTGTAGCTCTAGAAACAATTCTGGGAATGGAAAAAAACACAGGAGAGCTTCATTTCTGTACTTCTATCATATGTAGATATCTACCGTGTATAAATATCTACCACATCTGGAGACGCAGCACACTGCTGTTTTTCTGTTTTTATTTCTGAGTTAAACTCGTGAATGGAAGATGAAAGGTGTAGAGATTTTCTCTAGTTCAGCTCTGTAAGTAGTGACTATGTTATTACTCTGATATTTATACACCAAGATGACTTCTAAATGCTAAACATGTAAGGCCTGAAGTTGGTTCTGGTTCTTATCATCTTAAGTTAGGCATTTAAATGCCATATTTTGATTGTTTGTAATCATCCTCTGCCTCCTTGTCTCAGTTCTGCTGGCAGATCTAAGAAAAAAAAGGATGCTATTTTTTTGTTTCAGTCTTTACAGAAAAATACTGCACTGCTAACCATGTGGATAAACTTCCCGGGCCTAGGGACTGGGTTCAGATTCTTCAGGATCAAATCAAACTGGCAAGAAGACGATTAAAAAGAGGCTCAGGTATGTATAAAAAAAAACAAGGAACGAGATGTACAATTGAAGTCTTAGAGTCTTTCTATTCACAGAAGTGTTTTTCCTGTTGGCTGTAGTTAGAATTATGTATGTGCAGTATCTGAAAATTGGACCTTTTGCGTTTTTTGAAGTTTTCTACCAAAATGTTAAATGTAGTGTTCCCTTTACGTTTAGAATAGTAGTAAGTTTAGGAGCTGTCTTGGCAGGAAAGTTATATCAGACTTCTTTTTCTCAGTGGTTGCCTTTAATCTCTTTCCTTTCCACGAACACCCAGAACTTCTTCCCAGAGTTTGGCGGAATTTGAGTCCTGAACTAGGGTTATAGGTGAAAGTTATTAAATTGTGCTATTTGGTCTGAAAAGCCACTCTACTGTTAGGACATAACCTTTTCCTCTAAACCACATGGTTCTGGAAGGATGGAAAAGTTTTCTCACGATTCCTTAGGAAATAATTGGCGTCGCTGTGGTTGAAAAAACCCTCCTTGTGCCTTTGAGGTGCTGGCGGTGCATGGGGTGCGCCTGCGAGCGGTCGGGAACAGGGAGTTTGGGCAGGGATTTGCAGGAACGGGATAAGGGCTGGGATAACTGTGTGCTCGGGCCGGGCAGCGCGTGGGCTCTGCCGTGACAGCCCTGTGCTGGCAGCAGCTGCTTTCCTTGCCCCAGAGCCATCAGTTCCAGCTGCCAGCGGCAACGGACAGGCTCCAAATCCCCCCGGAAAGCTGGGAATGGGAAAGCGGCATCGCCACTTCCTATACCTTAACTGTTCTCCTCCCCATCATCATCTCTGCTATTCTACAAGGGGTTTCCTGCATGCAGCACTTCTCTTCCTAGTGTTTTCACGTGTTTTTCCGAGGGTTTCTCATGTAGAGATTTCTCTCTCTCCCATGTAGCATCTGACACTGTTTTGCGTCACCTGTGCCGACATCCTTAAGCCTGTCCCTTTGCTATCACTGTGTTTATCTGCCTGCCTTTTCCCCTCTCCTCCTGCGCTCACTACAATTAAGTGCCTGTTAATATCCGTGGATTTAAGGACTGAGGAGCCTAATGGCTCCCTAGAGGTTCCCAGTGGTCCAGCTGGCTGAGGAGGGATGAGCTAGACCGCAGCAAATGGACAGACCATTTTCCTGCCTATCAGAGAGCCAACGTTTTCTGTCCAAAGCCGCGTCCCTGAAGCACACACCAACACTGGCAACTGAAAGCATTATCCGCAGTTTCAATTGAGACAGAAATAATGTGGAGAAGAAAAGTGCAGGCTACTCTGCAGCATGAGCTTCCCCGAGCAGCCCAGCAAACCAGCACCAACCTTAAGAAGGGTTTCTCGTGTGTGCTGGGGGCGGGAGAGGAGAGGGATCCAAGATAATCTCGTTAAAGACGGTGTCAGATGACTGGTGTTGTACAGGAGAGCTGCCTTCCTCCGAGAGCAGCCCTTGCTGTCAGGCTCGAGGAGGGTGAAAAGTGCAGGGCAGGGTGTGGGGAGCGCTGGGTCCCTGCCTTATCTGCACAAGATCCCCTGGGAAAGAGGATTGACCTAATTTTGTTCCGATTTTTTATTTTCTTTCATCCTTCTTTATTTGCTTTTCTTGATGCCTCTGCAGGATATTAATTAAAATGACAATGACATTCTGATTTTTGCCTTTCAAATGGGGCCACTTGCATCTCTGGTCCTTTCTCAGAAAGGCAGATCCAAGCAGGGGATATTGTCTCTAAGCTAACAAGAGAATGAAGAGAATAAGTGAAGCCAAATATAATGTGGCTGAATAAGATGGGCTCCAATATCCATCTGTCTCTGCCTGCAGAGGGACACAAACACATCAACCTGGTATGTGGAGGATAGCAAGCAGGATGTACCTAACAGGTCCTTGGTTTTGTTTATTAAAATAAGTCCATGGTAATTGCTAGGAAGGCTCTTCCTTTTGTGTTCTTTGGTTTACTGGCCATTTTCTGCCAGGCCACAGCCCGATGCCTTGTTTTAGATGTAGCAGGAGTGCTTGGAGGTGCCACCGTGGCTACCTTCCCTTGCTGCCCATCGCGCGGAGCTTGTGCAGCCGGTCCTGGGGCACTCGGTGCTGAGCCAGCGTGGCCACGTTAGCTCCAACCATGTCCGGTGGCTCCAACTAACCCTCCCTGGCCTTGCACTGAGGCGGCGGAGCCGTGTTCAGCTGCTCACGTCCACGGCCCTCGTGAGAGCGAGCAGGAGCCACCGTGGCTACCTTCCCTTGCTGCCCATCGCGCGGAGCTTGTGCAGCCGGTCCTGGGGCACTCGGTGCTGAGCCAGCGTGGCCACGTTAGCTCCAACCATGTCCGGTGGCTCCAACTAACCCTCCCTGGCCTTGCACTGAGGCGGCGGAGCCGTGTTCAGCTGCTCACGTCCACGGCCCTCGTGAGAGCGAGCAGGAAATACCAGCAGAGAGGCAGGAGCGAGGGGGGCTGCAGCCACGTCTTGTAGAAACAGGGGTTGTTAGCCCTGATTCCTGACGTGAGGGACATGGAGCTGGACTGATCAGAGCGAGGATCCATGAAGAGCCAGACGCTGCTTCTAGCAGGGGCCGTTCACAGGTCCCCGGGGACATAAGTGAGTGCCTGGCTTGGCTCCTGCACTCTAAAATGTTACTTCGTTGTGTTCGGGTTTGTGGGTGTAGGTAGGGATGCCCAAAGATCCAATCGGAGCCAGAATGAAACTCAGCTGATCTGAGACTTTTTAAGCCAATGTGCCTTCCTGCTAGTTGGTCATGGATTCATCTGTATCAGTTTCTAGTTCACTTTGATGCACAGGCTTTATATGGAAAGAGCTTAAGATGATCCAACGCAGGCTCTTTGGTAGCATTGCACAGAAGCCACAAAACAGCGTTTTAGTCACCCCTGAGCTGGGCTAAGTTTTAACAGCAGGAGTATTTATGAGACAATGGGCAGTTTTCTAGTCTGCCTGCCTTCCTCAGCCATTTACCCATCCTCTGATTAGTTCTTCGTTTCAAACCAAGCTGGAAGACACTGCATTCATGAGCAGTGCTTTATCCTGCAAAACATGATTTCAGCCTGATAACATAAATCCAGCTCTAGCTTTCAGTGTTATTAATAATTTCAGATAATTCTAGTAAATGAGTGGGGTGGATCTGCTTTTCAAACCTCTTTCTGTAGAGCTTGCTCTCCTCAGTGTGTCCAAATTAAATGAAATCATGATCACTGGATCGTACATGGTGCCCAGCTTCACCTTATTTATCATGTTTGGCTCGTCTCCTAGAATTAGGGACAGCAAAGCTCCTTACTTGGAAAGCTAATCAAAAAAAAAAAAAAAGGAAACCTAAAAATTCTGCTTTCTAGAAAATACTTCCCTTGTGTAGGTTTTGAAGGGTTGTTATCCTGAGCCAAATAGAATTTAATTTAAGTTTTGAATCAGTGACAATATTTTCCATAGCTGGAAATACTCTTTCTTAATTTATTTATTTTGCTTTGGCTTTTTCTTAGTTCCTTCAGATTATTGCCTGAGATCTGAGAGTTGAGTGTTTTTTTTATTTGTTAGATCTGAGAATAAAGCTGTCACTACCATTAAATTTTTATTGGCCTTGTTCAGTCTTTTCAAAATTTCACAAGTTGGCTGTCACAAAGGGGAAAAGAAACTGTGAGGTTAATGTTACACGCAGATGTTAAAATTAAACAGCACGATAATATTTTTCAGCCTTAGCTTTCTGGTGCCAGACCTGTCTTGTCCCAGCAGAGGAGCAGAGCCCTCTTGGCTGCCGGGAGGGGATGCAGAGTGGCTCTGGATAGGAAGAAGCCAAAGGAAAAAGCGGGTGCAAGGTTTCCTCTCTTAAATTCCAATGCAAATGGCACTGTGGTTTACTGCTCTGAGCAGCAGCACTTCCCACCATGTAGTCCTTTGGCTCTGCAAAGAGGGGACGGGGAGGTGACTGGTGACAGCGCAGAAAGAGACGGCGACCATCAGCATAGAGCTCCAAGATGGGTGAAGTCAGAAGGCACCGACTTGCTCTTCGTGTCACTTTTTTGTTAGGCATCATTTCCAAGCCTTTTGATTACTCAACTCTTGATCCATTAATAAGCAACAGGTCAGGGGCTACATCTCTTGCAGCAAGTTCTTCCTCCCTCTTTATGCTCTGAAGAGTGTAAAAGCCATTATTCCATAACAGCTGCCCATTGCTTAGACAGGAAGGCTGATACAGGCTGACTAATACTGCTGAAGTGCAGAAGGTAAGAGCTGCTCGTGCAAAGCAATTACATTGTACGTAACCTGGAAGCTTTTGATTGCCATACTCAATAAAGGAAAATACAGCCATGTTAGAAAACATGCTGAAACCTTTCAGGCAGGATTAATTGAAATCAATTACATGCCATGACGTTACAGCCTAAAACTTCTCCTTAAATTTAACATTACCTTGTTGCGATGTAAAATAATGGGAACAAAGGAAGAGGAAATGCTTACATTCCTTCTGGAATATGCCTTTTCTCCCACATCCTTGTCCAAACTTCTGCTTTTGTTGTCTTGTGTGATTCTCTTTTTCCCATTCTAATTATCTGCATTTTCTTATTGCCCTGGTTGTGCTTTTGACATATTATCTGTGTCTTGTGAGACAGCAGATTCTAGATCAGGTTGTTTTTTGTGTAGCAACAGCCACAAGGCCAGAAAGGACGTAGGATGCATGGAGGTAGGAGTACATGAAGTGTATAGTGCTTTTGTGGCCAGGATCTTACTTAGATAAAGGATTTTAAAATGAGTAACTGCTGTGCTAACGTTTCCAGTCCTGAGCATACGTGTCCTTCTGTCCAAGGAGAAAAGCAGCAGATGAACACTTAGCCGATGAACATATATACTTAAGAAACTAACCAATTTTGCAGGCAGGTGTGGGAGAGGGGGAACCCTCTAAGGAAATGACTACCAGGATTGTTTTGCAAGAACCACTGAGCTTTATCTAAGTAGAGGAAAGAGAAGAGTGAATAATTCTCACAGTAGGATCTATTCCTGCTTGCCTTGTCTTGCAAGTTGGCTTAAGACAAGTAGAGCTTGGCTGGCTCTCTGTGGGTGCGGCTGTTGAAGGCAAACTCTCTTTCCTGTTTGGAACAGAATGTGAAAAGATGCTGGTTTACATCCACGTTAGAGGTCAAGGTGTTTATCATGCGTTTGTGAGCAGGAGCTTTGCTGGTCACACTTCCCCTGGAGCTGTGGTTACTCATCAGTTACACGGAACAAACTCAGGCAGCTACTAAGAAGAGTGAGTAGACTCTCCATGCGTCTTCCCTTTTGCCACTGGAAACAAGCATTAATGTGGCCACACTGTCAGTTTTAAGCTGTATCCATTCCCTGTGACTATGTGAGTGTTTGTGCTACCATGAGGAGTGGAACCACAGGTGGGGAGTGGGACATAATCATTAGGCAGCATCTCAGTCTTGTCTGTAACTATGTCTGTAGTCTCAGTCTGTAGCTTCATTTCTTGGCCTCAACATCTCCTGGGCAGTAGGTCTTGTAACACAGCTAGAAGTTGGTGTCAGACTGTCGCTCCAGGTGTTTTAATTGCTGGACATCCTGTTGGATGGTTCTTAGCTGCTCATACCACCATGCTGTCTCCTCCCTTGCTCACCCAGTCTTCCCATCGCTGTTATTCTGGTCCAAGTTCAAACCTAATCTAGAAGTAGAGAATCATGTAACTTCTTCCCATTTACTGAGCCATCCAGTCCTTTCAAGAAAGATTTTTTTTATAAAAAGCTATATTGAGCAGCTAATTTGTTTCTGTTCAGAAACAAATTTTTAATAGGAAATAGAAATTGGTTCAAGGCATGTTTCAGACTGACTTGCAGTTCGATGGCATGTGCTTGCAGTGCTCCTCATTCAAACCTTCTGTGGAAGGAGAGCTGCTTTGTGCTGGGGGCCGCTGGTTGCTTCTTGTTTGTTTGTTTGATTGATTGATTGGTTGTTTTTTAAATCCAAGTCATTTCACAGAGCTGAATACAGGGCATACAGCTAAAAATCAGGCTGGCATAAATGGATGTGGGAGAGGGAACAACCTCTTGGTCTAAGGACAAATAGCCAAGAGTAGTTGGAAACAGGAAACTGATGAGGAGCAGCAGTTGGATTAGTTGTTTCGATACCTTCTGAGAGGCAACAACTCAACATCGTTGTGTGTAGGGCCCTGCTGAAGATGATCAGGACAGTCAGGTGTGTGTGACCAGGTGTGAGCTGAACTCAATGGCTCAGTTCATCATAGCCTTGGTCAGATCTGATGGCTGTGGGTGTTGTGCAATGGGTGGATGTGTGTTTGTGAGGAGGTGTACATCCACCACATTAAACATCTACAATATAATGGACATATCTGCCTGTTCCTTTATGACCACACCTAATTTGCTTAAGTACTCTTGAAGATCTCATTGTGTTTTAAAGGTCTTAAATACCATGCTGAGGTGCCAAAGCACACACATAATAGGATTTTGTACAGGGCTTGTGTGGGTTAGGCACCTAATTTCTTTTAGATGTGTCTAAGTTAGGGTTCAAACTCGCACTTCAAGGTACTACAGTCTCAACAAGTTCCTGCACATCAGCTGAGCCAAATCAACCGTCTTTATGCATGCGCTTGGCCTGTGGCAAATATGAGATGAACAAATTAGGCTTTTAGCTTTCCTTCACCGTGGGCTAGGTTAAGTCAAATGAGCTTGCATAAGCTGTGGCTTGAAAGCATGTGTGTGGATACACACCGTAATTGCCTATCCAGCCGAGTGGTTTCGTGCTGTCGTATGTGCTGGTGCCCACCTGCATCTGGGAGCACATCCTGCCTTGGCAGATCTGTCCCTTGCAGAAGGAGCTCCCCTGTGGGCGCAGGAGTCAGAAATGGGAGTATCCACAGTTTTTGCTTTGGCATTTGGTGCTGCAGATGTTGGAGGATGGAATAGCAGCCGTTGAGGCTCCTCTGCCATGGACCACCAGGGCCGGCTTAACAAAGGGCACTTTTCTTGTCTGCTCTTATAAAATTATCCCAACTCCTTTTATCAGCCAGATGGCCTGAAACCTTAGAGGCAGCAGATATTATTCCAGCCCATTACTGGCATAACTGCTTATTAATACAAAACTCCCTTTTCTAAGTTTGCATTTTTATTGTATGACCTTTTCCTCCAAGCAGTGACTTTTTCACTGAGCAGCAGCATATTGCTGCTGAGAGAAGTAGATAGAAAATGCAAAATCACTCTACAGTATGTAGCTTTTTAATCTCATTCCTGTATTCAGTAAAAGTAATGAGATTTCTTGTTTATATTTGTAATCAGCAGAGGCAACTGACTGTGATGAGAAGCCGGACATTTCTCTACTACAAACAGGTAAAATGCATTAAAATTTTTATCAGCTTCCAGTGTGTGTTTATTTATTGCACAGAAGAATTTTTCAATAATCCTGGCATGCCAAATGCAGTCAGGTAATTGCTCACAGGACCCAGCTATCTTATGTGTCGAAGGCCCTGTATTAAAAAAAAAAAAAAAGAGAGAATTTTACAATTTCACTTTCTATTCATAAAACCTCAAGTTTCTCGGTAGCAGCTAAGCTAAGACAAGTAAGGGACCCTTTTTATCCACATAGTAACTTGTGCTCATCCCAGTATTTCTGGGCTTTTTCGGAATTCTTAACCCTGTTATTGTCAGGGGCAGACAGAGTAAGTTGTGTTACAGCAGCGTTTCCATTGTCCAAGATACTAGCAGTCATGTCTTGGATTTGCAGGAGGATTGTGAGTTTACGTGATAGTTAAGTGTTGTTTAAATTTCTCTTGAAGTGCATCTACCCTGACTCAAAGCCTGGCAGTTGTTAAGCAGCCGTGCAGAGTTGCGGGTTAGGAAATGAAATTTCCACGTGCTGCTGTATGCGGTGCTGAAACTAAGCTAAGCTGAGGCTGAGCTTTGGAGCACCCTCGTGTTAAGAGTCAGCTCATGAAGAGGTGCCCCGGTGGGCCGGAGCTGAGCGCCCATTCCATGCACTTTCAGAGGGGTGGCAGCGTCTGTGAGTGGCTTCCCAGGTCCCTGCTGAAGGCTCCTTCGCGCACGGGTGCCGGAGCAGCAGCTGCCTGCGCGGAGCCGCGTGGGGCAGGATCCCGCTGCCGCACGTGCGGTTACCAGGGAATAGGCCCAGGCTGAGGACAAGCAGCTCGAGCTGCTCCTGGCGCGGGTCCAGCGGGGCCCCGCGCGGCTGCCTCGCGGATCGCCCGGGGCGGGAAGCTCCGCTGGGAAGGGTCTCGTCCCAGCGACATCCTGTTTGTCTCCTTTATCAGCGGGGGAAGCAGTTGCATTGAAGCAAACCCTAATAAAGGTGGCTACTGCGTCGCAGTGCTATCCTCGCGGCGCTCCAGGAACCGCATTAGGAGCAGGGTTGTCGGGTTGTCGTGCTTCCCGTTGGAGCAGTTTGTGTAGCTGCCGCTCGCATCCTGCCTCGTGGATGGAAGCAAAGGATCCCTTCCCGCTCTGCAGGAACCCCTGCCGCTGCAGCCCGGTTCCTCACGCACCTCTTGAGCATCTGTGCGTACGCACGAGTCTTCAGCTGAAATTCCTCTTTTCAATGCGTGCTTCTCCGTACTATGTGTGGAAAGAAGCCTAAATAAACCAGGCTGCAGTTTGCACTGGTGGGGGAGGTGATGTTCGCGGGCTGCAAGCCAAGCATTTGACTCACACCCGTTATTATATATGTGCAAGTGCCTCTTTATAGAATGTATCAATGTAATATCATACTGTTCTTGGAAGCAAACCATTTAAAGTGATATACAGACAGTATAATGACAGTAATTATGACAGAGAGCCAAAATACAGATGCTTTCTGTCAAGGAGTCTAGCAAAAAAAGGTGGAATGTAACTTTTGCCGAGGTCTTTCCCTGTCTTAGCACAGCTGCTTTTATAAGGGGCTGTTTCTGACAGATCATTTCAAGGAGCCTTAGTGTGGTCTATTCAGCTGTCTTTTCTATTTAGCTTGAAAATTCTTTGGAGATGAGTGTCTCTTGCTGTGTGTTTGTACAGGGCCTGGCGCAACGGGCCTTGATCATACATGGCATCTCCAGGGCTCTTACAAGAGAAATCAGGAATGATCCATGGTTAACCTAGTAGGTTAGTACAATAAAACCAAATGGAATTGGATTGCTTAAGGGCAGTCTTGCAGGAGGTGGGACTGCAGAAAAGGTGGGGTGCAGGATCCATTTGTGACAGACTTGGTTTGCTGTCTTGCTCTTCGAGAACTGAACAAAGCGGTGAAGCGAAAAGGCCCAGAATGAATGAATTGAATCTGTGGTAAGTGTTAGTGGGGGAAAAAATAGGAAAACTCAGATGCCTTTAATCTGCTGTTTCTGTTCAATAAACCCTTCCCGTGCCCTTGGCAATGTTTTGAACATGATCTGGATACAAGTGGAATATTTGTGCCAAAATTCTTCAGCCTACGCCTTTGCAGATTACAGCCTTGGCTGACACCTAGGGCAAGACACCTCAGGCAGAGTGTGGTTGCTCTCAGCAATCTTCATAGCGGGGGGAAAAGGGGATTCTTCCTCAGAAGGAAGTTCAGATCAGCTAATGTCAGTGTTCGGAGATGCCTCTCCATTGATGCCAGTTGCATTTTGCTCTTAATTCCGGTGTGTTTTAGCTGCCTACAGTTAGATTGAATCTGCTGCCTCCTTGTCCTGGACTTTGGGGAGAGCAGAGATGTTCTGTTTTCAAAGCCTTCCTTTGGAGCTTGAAACTCCTGTAAAAGATGTTACTGTACAACCTCATAAAATGAGGGGAGACGTTTTTGCCCAATTATATTTTAGCACTTCAGAGCACAAATCGTGCTATCATTTTAGAATCATCCTAGATGCTAAGTGTGCCTTTGCTTTGAAAGCTGTTGATTGAAGGATATTTAAAGCAAATTCAAGAATGGTGGCAGTTAAACTTACTGGGAATTTTGGCACATTATCAGATCCCAAGAAAAATAGGAAAAAAAAAATGTCTCAAACATGAAGAGAGCTCAGGTTTTCCCTGATACTTTGCACATACTAAAGCAGTCTTTTGCTTTAGCTGAAATCTGTGTCCAGACCTGAGCTGAGAAAGATCTGACAGTTCCCAGGCTAATTGCTGTGGAGCAACTGGAAAGACTGATTAGTTTCTTGGTGATCTAAGAACCTGAAAGATGTCAGATAAATCTTCGGCAGAATGAAGACGTGCCAGCCGCTTGAATCTTTTTAGGTAAGCTGGCATTGCGAAAAGGCTCTTCGTCGCTTATCCTAAAATTTACAACGACATCTGGATTTAGTTTTAAATAAATAAATAAGCATAATCCCTAAATTCTGCATGTGGAAACAAATTTAAGCCAGCTGCAAAACCCTTTTCATGAATCCTCGTCTCTAAAATCACATGTGAATGGTAGAGGCAGCTCAGGACCGTGACAGAGCCCTCCTTATACCTGTGCTTTGGACTGAAACCGCCAAAGGGCTCACATCGTTTCTCCACACTAGGGTTAACTTCAGAACGAGAAAGAATTCTGATATCCCTAAAAGGAGCAGTAAAAGCAACATCCCAATCCTCGGGTGCAGGGGTGATGCAGCTTTGTGAAAAGATGAGAACAATCTCTCAGTAAAGAAACCAATGATAAGAAAACAGCAACGATCCAATTCTATACAGGTTGTCTCCTTTTCTCTTGGAATACAATATCAAGAAAATGAAACTTCAAAAAAAAAAGAAAAAAACTCTCTTCGAAACCTTAAATATAAATCCTTTATTGTAATATAAATCTTTATCCTTTCAGTGCATGATTGTATGAGTCTTCCCTTTTCATTGGGTTGTATTTGCTTCTTACACTGATTGATGTCCGTCTCCTATTTGCCCTGTGTTCTTAGCGCTACAGTTGTAATTCTTCTGTCTGTCTCGCATTGTTCTGCTAGAAGAAAAAATACATTCTTAAAGTAGTTTTTAAAAGATAGCATATAATCATACAGCATACCTGGGATTTTTTTTTTTCTGACATATGCATTTAGACCACCGTGGGTCTTTTTTTTCAGTCTTTTTCCAAAGAACATCCCAAAGTATGTACTCCAGCTCTAAAATCATGCGGTGCTTTTCTATTTTTTCACTTCTTCAGAACCCTAACTTCAAGGCAGGGAGCACTGCAGTAGTTTGTGCCATATTCTAATGCGGCGCTTTACATCTTAAGTGGTGTGTACTGGAACTTCTGCTCACAGTTCATGGATTTAACAAAAATCTTTGTATTTAACTGGTCGCCTTTAGGTAGTTGAGTTCTTCTCTGAGAAAAATTCACCAGAAATTAAAATTGGAAACTCAAATATATAATTTCCTTTTTTTTTTTTCAAACAACTGAATGGATTTAAACAGTGAACAATTTTAACCAATTTCTTCGCACTCTTTCTTCCTTCAGGTAACCTTTTTGACATGACGACAGACAGTCTGCTAGACACAAACCCAGATTTCTCGGCTTAAGTCCTCCGCTCTGCGTCGGTGTTTTTAGCAGACAGAAACACCCTCTCGCTGGGATGACGCCGCTGCGAGCCCCGGGCGCGGATTCCAGCGAGCTGCGGAGATCCCAGCGCTCTCCCTCCCTCCATCTCGGGTCACCTCACCCGCTTCCCCGTCAGCCGAAATAACAAAACTGCCAGATCGTTCTGCTCCTTTTCACCTTAATTAGTGATTTTCCTCCAAATCCAATGCACACATCAATTAGTGCGGGATCTACTCTAGCCCAAGACGCTCTCCCGCCTTGCTTCTTCCCTTCTCCCAACCCTGCTTTTTCCATGTCATGGCATCCCACCATATTCTCTGCCTCTTTGTGCAGAGGAGGATGGTACAGGTGGCCGCTGGGTTCAGCGCGATGACAGGGGAACGATGCCAAATCCCCATGTGTGGGAGGCAGACACTGGTGCAGGTGGCACCAGGAGGTGGGTTTTCTCCTCACTTTTATTTATTTTATTTTATCCCCGCCTTTCCCCGCCACCTGAATCTTAAAGGAGATCGGTTTGCCGACTTCCAGGAAGAGGGTCTTGCCTGCCGAGATTCATCAGCCGCCGCCCTCGGGGACGATACTAATCTATAAAAAACTAAAGTTGCCTTTTGATGGGCGCTCGGTTGATGTCTCAGCCGCTAAGTTGAGGGGACGGATCAAGAAATGGCCCTCTTGGGTGATGAGAGGCTCCGTCCTTCGAGGTCAGGGCCAAGGCAAAACCGCCGTGGCCCTCGCGCAAACTATCCCTTCTGCACCTTGCAACAGCACTAAATTCACTTTAAAAACGTAGGAGAAAAAAAAGAAAAGTCTAGAAGGTCTTGAGGGTCTTAAGCTGCGACATATAGTGACCACCAGAGAGTCTGCGATTCCTGGTGCTTGGGAGATGGCCGTAGCCGTCCTCGTTGCGCTCTCCTGCGCGTAGTTTAGGCCCGCAGGGTTTCTTTCCCTTGAGACTACTTGGCCTTTGAGCGTGTCAACTGAAGTGCTATTACAAAGTGGGTTCCCCCACCCCAAAAAAAATAATATATTTAAAGATTAAATAATAAATTTCAAGATTTCTTTCTTAACCACCCTTAAGCCAGTTTCTCGGAAGCTGCCGAACGCCCACAAATAAACCGAGGAAACTCGGCCTTGGTGCCGCCGCCCAGCAGGGCTTCGGGCCTGTGGCGGGCGACCACATTCCCTCGGGAAATGGGAATCCGCTCCGCGTGCACTGCGGGCCTTAAGGAGCCTTCCCTCCTGGCCGCCCGCGCCGGGACCCCCGGGCGCCGCAGTCGCTGTTTTGTACATTTTCCAGATTTGCATTCGTGTTTACTTACTGTGACTACTGTTGAGACTTCCTTCGGAAATCTTTTTATATAGGGTTTGTTAGCGGAAAAGCAAAAAGCGACAAAAAAAATCATTCCATATTTAGGTAAAAATGTCTCAATCTTCTGTATATATGTTTTATTAATATGTAAATATTTAGATATTTTTAAATTACTATGTTCTTAATGAAGCGACAAGGGATTAGTTGTGACATGGTGTATAACGTTGTGCTGTGCTATCAATCTCTGGGAAACCCTCTTTGTCAGTTCAGAAAAGAAAAACTACAATAAATAACTTTAATTGAATGTGTGTTTTCCCGAGTTTTGTACTCCATTCCCATATTTCAAAGGAATTACCTGCCACTTAAAGGCTTGTGTAAGGAAATATCTGGAAAAAAACTGAAAAGTTACTGCCAGAATGTGATTTTTCTGTCCCAGAAAGAAACTCTTCTGCCTGCCAATCAGACCAATGGTTATATCAAATCTCATAATAACTCTTGAGCATTAAGTGCCGATATGCTTGAAGTCTAATTTTAATTGAATTAGGTGCCTTTATAATCTTCACTTAAAAGGTTAAGCTCTGCTTCTATGGAAACAACACACAGGAAGGACAAACCGATACTCACGGTTTGGGAGAGCTGCAGAAAATACACGCTCGGCAATTTATTATCACACCCTCATGCGAAGTTGTTTAGCCTTAGAAAATATTTCTTGCAAAAACATGTTCCTTAGTAATCCTCAGTCGGTTACAAGGAGCTGGTGAGGGGAAGGAGTGACTCGACACTCCTTTTTTTTCTGTTTTTTCTGTTTTGTGTCGGGAGCACTAGGGAGAAATTGCTAGTAAACCGCAGCAGCGATGGTTGCGTTTGCTCATGCACCCCAGCCAGACACACATCCTGCGTCCGCGGTGTTGCTCTTAACTGCAGAATAGCTGGAAAACGAGTAAAAAGTGACTGAATTTGCCTGGGTCTGTCTCCACGTGACTAAAAATTGGCTTCGGGTCTGAGTGCAGCTCAGCCTTCAGACGCCTGTTGAGCATCTGGGTGGAGGCAACAAATCCATCCTCTACCAAGTCATTCTCATGAATGCACAAAATAAAGCCCAACCTGCCTTTATTTTGCTTGGCTTTTTGCACCATGGGGGAGGTTGACGTGCTGTTATTTGTCACATAGGGTGGAGTGACAGTCTGGAGGACCCATCACGGCACTAAATCTCACCCGTGTTGTGAAGTCGAGCGTCTGGCAGAGCTGCCCGTTCACATGTTGGACGAGCCATGCGCGCTAGAAAAGTTTGGGCGAATACATTGGGTGCAAAAAAAATCGTGTTTCTGAAGCGTAACAGGAAAAGGATATCCTCCTGGTAGCATGAAAGGAAAGCGGAGCCCGGGCTTTATAAAAAATGCATTAATTGCAAGACGAGAAGACGGCCGCCCGCAGCGCCCGCGACGTGGTGGGAACGGGGTCTTTCGGGAGAGCCGCACGGGTGCACGGAGCGGGTCCTGCCTTTTCCAATCATAATGATCCTATGGGATTTTGGGATTCTATATGATTCTATGCCAAGGTGTGATTCCTCCCATGCCAGGGCATCAGCCGGCGTGGAGAGACTCCGGATTCGTTTCTACAAGTAGGTCAGGTATGACTTTTCATCCGCCGCATGCTAATAAAAGGCACTGATGTGAAACCTATAACATTATGTGTATAAATAATTTAGCTCGGTTGTGTAAACATTGATCCTGGGCTTTAAAAAAAAATGAAAAGGAAATAATGCCATTGGCTCCCCCATCACCACCCGTGCTACGCTGTTCTGCCCAGCTGCAAATGGGGGCCAAAAACAGATAATATTTGGAGAATTTGGAAATGTGGAAGAGAAACTTTGTTTCTTGCATTTCCTGAGATGCTCAGAGGTGCAGAATCAGGATGAGCGAGGTAGCTAATTAGAAACAAAGATGCTAATTTTGTCCTGTAATTGCGAGTACCTGTTGACAAACTGTGGTCCAAGGCGACATGGGTGAGTTTATCGGTCAGGCCTGTGGACCCTCGAGGGGTTAAAGCCCCTTTTTTCACTCATCTCAGCCCCGGGGCTGAGGGGAGCACCTGGCAAAGCAGTTTGTCACTGGGTGCTCGTGCAACCTCTTAAATAACTGTCTTAAGATGGGACTTTTGCCACTGGAGGTCTTCTGCAGGACCTGGAGGTCTTCTGCAGGATCCAAGCAGGATGGATAAAGGCAAAACAGCCTGGAGAGCAACGCCATGGACCCAGAGCGACTGCAAGGAGCGCGGTTGGAAGGATCCAGCCGGGGGAGGCCGCGGCCCCGCGGGACCCTCTGGAGGCAGCGTGGTCCCGGGTTACAAACTGGTTTGGCAGGCAGCGCGTTGCCAGCTCACCTGGGGCCCGTGTCTCACCAAACTGGTTCATCATCTGCCCTAATGCTCCCCGGAGCGGCGATTAACACTTCACCCGTGGTTGTTTGGCCCTCCCTGGTGGCTCTTCTGGTTGTAGCTTTGGTTTAATGCGTTCACTCCAGTATGATCACTGCACCCCTGGGCACGGGACAGGGGAGGACACTTGGAATAAGCGATGGGATCAGCTAAAAAGGGAGAATCCAGGGAGGTTAAAGTAACAAAAAGCAGTGTTTGCTAACACTTGCGGTGGGCTGGGAGACTGCCTGCTGTCCCCATGCCATCACTGTGGGTCAGCAGCGCCTTCCTGCATGTATCCTGGCCAAATTACAGGGATAGGATGGGATGGAGAAGGGAAGGAGAGCGCCGGCCGAGCTCTGGGTACATCCGGGCATCTCGGCCAGGCGCAGTCTCCTTGCCAGCTCGCTGGAAAGCGAGAGGGGAAGAATCTGCCCTAGGACCAGCGTGAGGCTATTGCTGCTCCCAAAGCTCAGAGAAAGCAAAGATTAACGTAATCATTTAATCCCAGGAGATTTCAGGATTCGCTGGCTCTATCTCGTGTCTCCATTCACAGCTGCGCAGGGGATGTGTGTAAACCGCTCCCTCCTTATCTGGATGCACCTCAACTCCCCTCTCATTCCAGTCCTCCTGATTTATTGCACGTGCTTCCAGACCCGGCTCTGCTGCCACCAAGCAGTGGAGAGGCAGGACCTCCGTGCTGGGCACATTTGCTGGCTGATGGGACTTGCTGAGGCTTCCCGGGATGCAAACAAGCAGGATCTGCCCCCGGCACCCACCTCTCCATCCCACCACGAAGCTGGCTCTGAGTCTCCAGAGGCGCCGGTGGGAGCTGCGAGGGCTGCATCAAAGTTGCTGCGAGATTAAAGGCAACGGATGCAGTGGCGGCCGGTGCAGAGACATCAAAGCGAAGCGGTATCGGGAGCAGAGCGAGGATGCTGGCTCCAGTCAAGTTAGCAAAAACAGCGCGTTCACAGAAAAACTGGAGAGGAAGGCCGAGAGAGGAAGCAAAATGACGAAGGTGGCTGGGAAGAAGATGAGCCCCGAACCGCGGCCCCGGCGGGACCGGCCACGAGCTGCTCCTGGAGGCTCCCGCAAGGACGCGATGGCCGGGGGTGCCCGGCTCACCCTGCCAGGAGGATCCAAGGACTCCCCAGCACCCCCACCGGGACCCCCAGGTACTCACGGGAATTAGGAGTAACATCAGCTTAAACACGGAGTGTGGTCTCACTGTGCTCATGTTTAAGATCACGATTGCTAAAAAAGTAAAGGAA